GGGGTTCCAAACAGGATGGAACTAGCTGTTCTCAGTGGTGGCAGATGACAGAACAAGGAGCAATGGTCTCAAGTTGCAGTGGGGGAGGTCTAGGTTGGATATTTGGAAAAAACTATTTCACTCGGAGGGTGCTGAAGCACTGGAATGGGTTACCTAGGGTGGTAGTGGAATCTCCATCCTTAGAGGTTTTTAAGGCCCAGCCTATAAACAGGCTAGGATGATTTAGTTCGGGTTGGTCCTGCTTTGAGCAGGGGTTTGGACTAGGTGACCTCCTGAGGTGTCTTCCAACCCTAATCTTCTATGATTCTATTATTCTTAGACTTGGAACTGCCCAGCTTTTCACATGCAAAGGAGTCTGAGTACAGCTCTCTTATTAGGGTAGTGCATCTGCTTTTCGCCTTGAGTCTATATTTGCTTTCTTGATCAGTCATCCCCAGTAATGCTGTCGTTTGGACTCTTGACTTAAGCTACTCCCATCTGAGCCCTGCTTCCCTCCTAAAAAAAAAAAAAAAAAAAAATCAGGATTTCTTGGTCTCGTGTATTTGCCACTGCTGAGAGTGGTCTCTTCTGGTCAGGCAGCATCTGGCCTTTGACATCTTATTCAGGTTTACTGGCTTTCAAAGCTTGGAATATTTTAAACCATTGTCTGCCCATCCAGGTGTTAGTGCTGCACTCTTACCTGTTGGGCTTCTTGAGTGCTATCACAAGGCTTCTCCTAAGACAGACTCGGTTCCCTTTCAAGCACTTTAATCCAAGACCTGACTAAATAATTTCCCGCACTATCTGCTACTAGCCCAAACTACCTGTCAGATAGTTCATGGGCTTGCTTCCCTTGCTCAAATAATTTTGCCAGGAAAACATCCAGTTTGCAGATGCAAATGTAGAACTGCTTCTCCACCTCATTTGCATTCTTGCCCCACATGCTCCCTGGGACTCTGGGATCTTTGGGACCTAGGCTGATCTTGCCTCCCAAGCTTCCTTAGCCTGGGGCCCCTTCTTTCTTTCCCAGCAAGTGCTAGAACCATCAAGCCCTTCAAACTTCTGAAGTTTTCCTGCCCTGTGGCTACAAGAGAAATCACTGTATCCCAGATAATTCGGAGCGTGGGGAGGTGGAACCCTCTGGTCAAGCTCTAGCCCTGGCTTCTGTACTGTGAGTTTCCCATTACACAACTTCATGCATTCCCATGGGAGGTCTCCTCTGTTTAAAATTCAAAGTTCTTGCCAGGCAATGTGTCTTTCCATGCCCCAGTTCTTCACATTTCAAGCACGTTAATAATTCTAGGACAATCACCCTTCTTGGCCACAAACAGTGTTTTCTTAGTCTCTTTAAGAGACATTGGGGTCTCTTGCGTCTGAGACTAGGCATCCTTTGTGACCCAGCACTTTCTGGGTGTGCCACAGTACTCTGCACCACCCAGTAATCTCCCTTGTTACTCCAGGGACAAACCCAATTTGCATGCCCCTCTTGCCCACAGTACCTGCACCCCCTTAGCAGGACCATCTGACTTCTTTCCCTTCCATTTCTAACAGCTGGGCCTACAAGGATTGCTGGGCTCCCTCGCAAGCCTGTGACAAGGGCTCCTTGAGTTGTCACTGCTACTCCTTCTGCAGATCCAGAACATATGACATCTTTCACTCAAGATGAGTGTAAGCATTGCTCCGTGTTATCATCCCTACATGATGGGAGGGGGCCTCATTCCCCACTTCTAGCACCATACCATAATCAGGGCCCTCACCCTAGAGTACCCCTGGCAGCCCAGTGCAGCCCCACCATTGTCTCTGCCTCAGTTTCCCTGAGTGATGGTTTTATGAAGTCCAATGAGATGTATATATTGAACATCACCCGTTCAGGGGCCTAGTTTATTCAACCCCAAAGGTGGAATACCACATACACAGGTAGGTGCAGGGCCTGAGTCAGCATTAGTCTGTCAACACAGTTATATCCCATGTCCCTTACCAGTGAGGCCTTCATGACACAGAACTCTTTTCTAGAGTCCAGGGCCTCTTCTTACTAACTGGGGGAGGGTCTCTTTTCTTGGGTCAAGGCCAAACTCCCAAGACCTTTCCTCAGGATAACATCTGATTTCTCTTTTCCAGGGCTTCTGCCTGCTGAAGTATTTCATGGGAGTCATTCATAGTCCCTTCCCTCCAGAAACCCTCCCACTGAAGAGTATTCTTCCCGGGTTTCCTTCACTGGATTCCCATCCCCTCTGGGAATAGCTTTCTTTATCACACTCAGGTACTTCACTGCCTAATTAAATGCCTCCTAATTACTCAGTACGCCAGATGACCCTGAGTTGCCTCATTCTCCCTAGTGCAGCCTGTCAGAGGTAAGTCGAGCCCCTGACTCTTCCTGAGGGCCAGACACCATCTGATACACCCATATAACTTATTCCCCGAGTGGAAGGGGAATAATCTATACTGGTATAGATCATCCTCCTATCAGTATGTGTTCTGATTAGGGACCTTACCAGTATAATGATTTAAATTAAAAAACAAAAACCACCTACACCTTATCTGACAGCTATTCCAGGACAAAATCAGAGTGCAGACCACCTAATTAAGAGCCTCCATTAGGCATCCTGCCAGTCCCTTATATATTAATAGTTACTTACCAATTCACAGCATTGTTTAGCACAACCACCATAAAAAGTGGAATCAGACTTCAATGTAGTTACTTCCATAGTGCATGCCTCTGGGGGGAAAAAAGCCAGAAATGCATTATAAAAAAACCCCAAAACTCAATTCGTATATTCATCTGATAGTGCTTAGAATGTCTGCAAAATTAAGTTATAACCTAATGTGAGGGGAAATGATCCATTCAGCTTTCCACTCAGGACCGTCTAGAAGTCCAGATAATCAGTGTTACCAAAGAGGTTACAATCTAGGTATAAAACTAGAAACAAAAGATGGATAGACCGATGAGGGAACACAGGAAACAAGGAGACAAATATCGGTCAGCATGATCGTCTGTGGTCCCAGCACAGCCTGTTAAGATTTTTGTAGGCTTCATGACTCGAGAAAGTTTTTTGCACTGGACTACAGAGAACAGAAATTTCTATAAAGTTGACTATCTGCTTCAAAAAAAACTAACCCAAAACACTTTCTTTGTAATTTGCATTTTACAGCCTGTACTCTCTTTACTGATCATAGACAACTATGTACACTAACCCAAATTCATAAAATGCTTTTGGTTTGGCTCAGGGCAAACTGTCCTGTGATCTCTGTCTCTCCATGGGCACTTCTTCCAAGTAGCAAACATTGCCTCTACCTGCACTTCTCCCAGACCAGAACCCCACAATTCACAACACTTTAGATAGGATCACCAGACTACAACATTCCTCATTTACCAGCCATATATACCTCAGCTTGTGCAACTGGGTTTAACTATAGACTCCTCTCTGGAAGCTTGTGGCCAATATGAAATGTAGTGGTTCAGAACACATTCTTCAAAAAACAAGTGATTTATTCATTCACAGAAATGTAACAAGGAAAGAGAATAGGGTTTTAAATAAAAAAAGCCTATACATATATTTCCTACCTAAACCCAGCCCACCGTTGCCTGTTTATGGACATACTGCTTAACCCAGGTACTCCAAGCTTGGCCAGAGTGAGAAGGGTTGCCCCCTGTAACTGCTGCCTTCCTGACATACTGAGCTCTCCAGTCAGTGAGTCGCTCACCTCAGCTCCCTGGTTCAATTTTATCCATTCCAGAGACTCTGTGTTCAGGATTCCCAAGTTCCTTTGTCTGACTTGGCACCCTGCATGCAGTCCAGACTGGTCTGCGTGTTTCCCCACAGGGGCTTATCTATAGTCTTTACCGTACAGTGGATCCCAGGCATTATCTAGTTCAGCACAGGACCATTACAGCAGTCTGCAGTCATCATGTCTTGGCTCTTGTGACCCAAAGCTAGCTAGGGGTGATCTTAACACTTACAGAACTAATCCGTCAACCCCCGTTTCACAGGGCACAGGTACACCTTAGTGCAGACAACACCAGCTCTTCACGGCGGTCAGTCACCACAGGGAGGGGCGCTCGCCCGCCCCAGAAGCGCGGGCGCCGGCGAAGCACGGGGCCCGGGGCCCGAGCCGGCGGAGGGCGGGCCCCTGTTCCACGCGGGCTGGACGCCGCCTCACGTGACACTTAGCTCCCTTCGCCCACGTTTTCTCCGCAAACGGGGCGCCGGAAGCGCCTCAGGCCAGGCCGGCATTCCTTGCCGGGCGCGCCTGCTGCCTCCGACCCGCCTCTCCCCGCCACCGGATGCGGCCTGGCGGCGGCGCCGCCGCAAGAGCTCTGGGGTGGGCGAGGGGAGTGAGCGGGACCCGCCCGCTGGCCCCATCCGCCCGGGCTCCGGCTCCTGTCCCCTCTTCGCTGGGGCACCCCTGGCAGATAGCACGGCACGGGAGGGTGCGGGGGGGGGCGAGGGCGCCCTGTCATCCCTCCCCCCCGCCGCGGGTACAGGCCTCTCCGGGGCTAAGCATAATCGCCGCCCCCCCCGGCCGCGCGCCACACGCAGAGCAGGCGGGGGAAGCGCGAGCACAGAAACGATCGTTCAACCGACACCCCAGGCGCCCCCCCTGACAGCGCCCCCCCTCACTCACCGGGCCAGGCCCGAGCCCCGAGAGCAGCGACACCCCCCGCTTCCTGCTCAGCAGCCGCAGCCAAGGAGCGGAACCTCTGCCAAAAAACAGCCACTTCCCCCACCGCCCCTCCCTCTTCCTCCCAGACCTTCGATTGGCTGCTTGCCTCCTGACGTCAGAGGTTTCAGAAACGGGAACAAGCTCCTCGCACCTTGCGTTGCCTGCGCGAGAGGCCGAGCCGCACGCCGACGCTTCCTCAAGCTGGCTGGTGAAGAGCAGGGAAGCGGCTCTGACGTCCTCCTTTAACGTCATGCGCAGGCGACGACTCCGCTCGCTCACGCGTGTGTCTGTCGTGTCACCACGCATGCGCGCAGAAAGCTGTCGCGTGGCGCTCTGGATGTGTCACGGGCGGTCGGGCAGGGCCGGGCGCACCTCCCCGTCCTGATGGAGGAGGCTCGTCGTGCGCGGCTTCCTCTCTCTCTCTCTCTCTCTCTCTCTCTCACTGGCCTGGGGAGTCCCAGGCCTCACCCGGAGCAGGCCGGGGGGAGGTGAGAGAGGGGGATGGGCGGAGCGGGAGGCCAGGGGGCGCCACCTCGGCCCGGTGCTGCTGCTGCTGCTTCTCCCCGCGGGTGTCAAATGGGCGCCGCGAGCTTGGCGCCGCGCGGGCGGCAGTTTTCCCGAGGGGGACGGGTCCGTGCCGGGAGCCGCGCCAGTCCTGAGGGCCTCGCAGCCCCCAGGACACCGAGAGCCTCCGGCGGCCGCGTTGCGGTGGCGAATGGGGCTCCCGGCCCCGTCTGTAGCGTTGTTGCCCGCTCCCTCCCCCCCCCCCCGGCCACCTGTGGGAGGCACCTGGGCCGCGGCGAGCTGCCCCGGTGTCGCCTTGACGTTGGCGTTTCCTCGAGGGCCTGCCTCGTTCACGGCCCGCCTCCGCACTGATGGCGAGGAGGGCCGCGGCTGCTCCGGGAGGCGTCGGGGGTTGGCACCCACGGGCCGTGCTCTGCCCGCGCTGCCCCGCAGGGGAGTGAGGCGTCCTTTGGGTGCCCAACTCCACTGCAAGGAAAACCCGGGCTCCGCATGGGTCTTCGCCCCCGGCAGGGGCAGCCTGTGCCCAACAACCTGCTTGGTGCTGAGCAGGAAATACTGCTTCTTTCAACCCTGGCTTCTTGTCCGTGCCAACAACTACAAATCCAGTTAGAGTGCAGGTTCCCCTGCCAGGAGCCGTGGCAACAGGTAGCCCTAGCGTAGTGGTTCTCACACCTTTGCACTGGTGACCTCTTTCACATAACAAGTCTCTGGGTGAGACTTCCCTTATAAATTAAAAACACTTCTTTATATATTTAACACCATTATAAATGCTGGAGGCAAAGCAGGGTTTGGGGGGGAGGCTGACAGCTCGTGACCCCCTGAGGGGTCCCAACCGCCAGTTGGAGAACCCTTGCCCTAGTAGTATGGGTGTGACCACATTGCACCAGGAACAAAACTACTTGATTCCCATTCGCCATAATGAAAGTGAGAGGAATAGCATATTCATGGGTTTCTCAACATCATGGAAACCTAAAAACCTATAAAAAAAATCCCTATTGTAGCTTTGCCAGGCATCCGGTTTTCAACCAGAATGCCTGGTTGAAAAGGAACTGCTGACAGCTGCTAAAAGTCCAGTCAGCTAAAAGCCAGACTAAAGCAGGCTCAGCGTGGCTCCTGGAAGCAGCTGGCATATGTGGCTCCTAGGTGCAGGGGATAGCCACAGGGGCTCCGCATGCTGGCCCTGCCCCGAGCTCCGGATCTGCAGCTCCAATTAGCCAGAAACCATGGCCAGTGGGAGCTGTGGGGGCAGCAGCTGCGGGCAGTACACAGAACCCTGTGGCCGCCCCTGCACCTAGGAGCCGGATATGCTGGTTGCTTCTGGGAGCCACCTGAGGTAAGTGTCACCCCTCGCCCCATTCCGCACCCCAACCCACTGCCCCAGGTCAGAACCCCCTCCTGCACCCAAACTCCCTCCTGGAGCCTGCACCCCAGCCCCTTGGCCCAGCTCTGAGCCCCCTCCTGCACCCCAAACCCCTCATACCCAGCCCCACCCCAGAGCCCACACTTCCAGCCTTAGCCCGCACCCCAACCCCCTCCTCCAGCCTGGTGAAAATGAGTGAGGGTGGGGGAGAGCAAGTGACAGAGGGAGGGGGGAATGGAGTTAGCAGGGGTGGAGCCTCAGAGAAGGGACGGGGCAAGGTTCAGTTTTGTGCAATTAGAAAGTTGTCAACCCTACCCTAAGGTGAAGTGTAGCTAATAGCTTCTTGTAATTCTTTTTCTCAGTTAAAAAGAAGAGACTGACATGGTTGAAAACTCTCCAGCCCCATTGCCTGAAAGAGCAATATATGGGTTTGTTCTTTTCTTAGGTTCCCAGTTTGGCTTTAGTAAGTATGTTTGCATTCTGAGCAAAGTGCTACATGTATTTGTTGTATTAAAAGGCAGAAATGAATACTGTACAGTCATGCCTCTAGTAAGATGTAGAAGTTTTAAAAAAGATTAACTCTGTGTTAATACTTCTCATGTAATAAAAATTACATTAGTTGTAAAGAAGGACTAAACTCGGGGGAAGGATAGCTCAGTGGTTTGTGAATTGGCCTGCTAAACCCAGGGTCATGAGTTCAATCCTTGAGGGGGCCATCTAGGGCAGAAACTGGGGATTGGTCCCCCTTTGAGCAGGGGGTTGGACTAGATGACCTTATGAGGTCCCTTCCAACCCTGATATTCTATGATTCTATTATTTGCAGTGTTGGGCCCAGGATATTAGAGAGACAAGATGGGTGAGGTAATATCTTTTATTGGACCACCTTCTGTTGGTGAGAGAGAAGCATTAGAGCCCCGTGCAAGCTCAGAAGCTTGTTTTTCTCACCAACAGAAGTTGGTCCAATAAAAGTTATTACCTCCCAAGCTTGTCTCTCTGAACTGTTGTTAAAATCATTATGCAACTTTGTGGGATAATCCAGGTCTTCTCAGTTCTCCCTTGTATTATCCTTTTGGATTTTGTTCTCCCTGATACTGCTGCTGGTGGCCATGTAGCCGAGTGTGCTGTGGGAACAACTATATTTCAGGGAGTTAGTTGAAAATCTTTCCAGTAGGCTGAGTGTACAGCATATGTGTACACAGTTGGCACTTTGTGACCTGTGTAGAAGTTAAAGGTGCAAAACACAAATGCTGAAGATGTGGACTGATAAAGATGAAGGCTGACGAGAATCACATCAGTTTCACTGTGCTGCTGCTTTCAGCAATGATATGCCACAACAGAGGAAGGTGCTGGAGATACTCATTGGGTAAGGAGTGGAGTAGCAAAGAGCCCATACTCCTTTGCAGCAAGTTTGAGGCTTTTGGGTGGGGAACACTAAATAGAGAAGGAGTGCTCCTTCTCTTGCAACAGTTAGAGAATAGTTTAGGGACTTCAAATTTAGCACATCAAAGACAGAGATGAAAAATGGAGCACCAGCAATTTCAGGGACAGAAGAGCATCTGGCTGTAGGAATCCCAGAACCCTTCCCATTTCAAACAGCTCAGCAAGGATGGAGCTAAGGAGGGCTCCACTCCAAGGGTGTTCCCACCAGACTCTACCCTGGGATTCCATCTTCTATATCCTCTTGCTAGTAACTGTTCTGTTGATCTAAGATGGTGTAAAACCTTAACTTTTGAGCCAAAATTGACCTTACTGTTCTTCTTAAGAGAAATATTTTTGGATTAATACTTACTTCATTGGCACTGAAATCAGTAAATCCAAATTTACTCCCATTCTAAATATATTTTCAGTAAAATACACATTTTTAAAAACATTGCTTCAAGTATTAGGTTGTTGTAACTCTTGTTTCAGTTTTGTGACAGCTGGGACTAGTGTGACTCTCTGTTACTTTATCCTTCCCCACCAATTCCCGATTTATATGTTTACTTACTTGCCAGAATTCTAGATTTTGAGCTCTCTGGGGCAAGAGCTGTCATTGTGTGTTTGTTTGTACACTACCTAGTACAATGCTATCCTAATCCCTATTTTGGGTGTTTACATTTTATCATTTCTATTGTGATAGCCCCTTAAGTGGCATACTATAGTAAAGAACTGAAGTATTTAAAAAAGAAAATCTCATTGAAGATGTGTGGAATTCCACTCAAATAACATTTGGTACTCCACAGACGTCTCATTTTGGGAGTTAATTGGGTTTGTTGGGGGGGGTTTAATGGCTAAATCCTGCTGTCCTTGTGTGGTCATATTACCCATTAACATTATTGCTAGTTTTGACTGCAGAATTAAACCCTTTGTGGTTTAGTGCTGTCATATAGTTCTACATACGTAGTCATTTGTGCATATTTCTGAAGACCTAGAGAAATACTTTGGATCAATGTTCTTAAAATACAAATGTTTAAAATTAATTTTAAATTAAAATTTTAACCTTTTTTAAAAAATCGACAAATGGTGCAAGGAATTCTTGTCTATTTTATTCTGGAATTAGAAAACAAATATGAAGAAGAAGAGAGAGTTAAAGTACCATCAGTTATAAAGTTTGTATCCCTGTGGCGTAGTTTTTGTTTTCATGGTAGCATTCTATGCAGTATTTCAGCAGACCTATTTAGATGCTTTTTGGAATCCATAGAGAAAATTTTTATAATTTGTTTGTATCCTCTGTAATGACAGTGCTATAAGTGTTGTCTAGAACTAATTTATCTCTTAAAACAATGTAAACAGTACCATTATGATCAAACTATTAACTTTTATTCTTTTTGCACAGTGTTATACCTTGTATGGGCGTATGTTCCGGAATCTTGGTTATTCTCATTGGGACTAACATACTGGCCTCAAAAGTAGGTTAAATTCATTCACTGTTAAACATGTGAACGAGCAAACGCATACCCAGAAAAATTGTGCCAGTGTCCTTTTACATTTAAAGTATTTTACATTTAATCCAACTTGGAAAAGGAGATTTAATATGTTTCTCCTCACAAACAGCTACAGTATTTATGTAAAGTAATGTTTCTGACATTACTTTACATACTTTACATAAACAACAGTTTACTCTGAAAAATTATCAGCAAGCTAAAATGAAGTGCAGTTCACCTGTCTGCTATGTTCTTAAAGTAATTTGGCAGCTTGGTTTAACTAAGGTTTTTTTCTGAAATATCATGGTAAATTTTATTAAATTACATTTTCCAAATAAACTGTCTAAGGCATTTATTTGGCTATTATTCCATACTGGTCACATACTGATCACATAATTCCAGACTGGATCTTTAGTTAATGAACTGTATTTTCAGGGTCTTCTCTTTTTAGTGTGGTGGGTTTGTCTATAATTGTTTTTTCTATACACTTTAAATTCAATTTAAATGTTTCTACTTCTGCACAGTCTTGCTTGATTTAGAGCTGGAAATAATTTTTTACTAAAGACTTTCTTTTGCAAGATGTAATTTAAAAATAAATATTTTATTCTGCAGGTACTGGGCAGTTGCTTTGCCTGTATACCTTCTAGTTACTTTAGGAATTGGCTATATACTACTCTTTGGTATTAACATGATGAGTACTGCTCCGCTCAACTCCATGCACACCATTACAGGTAGTTGATAATTTTTTTGTCTAGTTCTTAAGCCTCCAACAAAAGGTTTTGACAATCACCGTAAACATACTTGCTAGTATAACTAAACTAAATCAGATTCAAAGCCTTGAATTTTCACCTATGTTTCATGTATTGATGTATTACAGGAGCTGTTATAAACACTTATATATAGTTTGTTCAAACTTCATTTCAATACAATGTTAAAACAGTCAAAACTTGCAGTAATATTTTTTTCCAAATATATCTTCTTTAGGACAACCATTACAGTCTAGCATTTGCTACTCTTTCCCATGGATTTTGTTTCTGCCCACCAATCCAGTTCTGACTACTTGAAATACAGGTGGCTTCCTCAGTATTTTCCCATCTTTCTCAAGATGGTATTTCTTTTATTTGCTGATAACTGTTTTTCCTGAGCAAGAACATGGGAGAATTCAAAAATTACCCAGATTATTAGAATCCAAGTCTATGCTAAAGATAAGCTGTCCCAATTGGCAGCACCATTTCGCCCATGTCCATTCACTTCTAATGAAGACTAACAAAATTAGTATTTAAGGCATGTTTTATTGACTTATTTTGACTTGCTTCCACTGAACTGTACTTTGAAGTGGAAAGAGCCAAGTGTAGACTCTGCAGTAAAGATGGTGATGACTTGATAGAAAGAAAGCTGATGACTTGATGACTAGACTGATGACTTGATAGAAAGCTGCTGAGGTCAAGAACGAAAAGGGTCAGCAACACGCATCCACAGGCAGAATTTAGCCCCAACTCTTTCTTGAATCAGCACTATGGAATTTTCTTTGCTAGAGGGAGCAAAACGTTAATATCTACTGTAGATAAACTGATGTTACCAATAAAATGCATTCACTTTCAGTAAACCAGAATGATGCTGTAAATGTCTGAAAAGTGGAATGTTTCTTGAATTTCACTCTGTTAAAAGTTGTATTGGATTAGGTTGTAGCTGGATGTGATGTAAAATCAGAGCAGTATGCTTTTATGTTGATGAAGTGTAGGAGTCTAACAACACTTCTAGCAGGAAAACAAAGTATTTCATTTTATACCATCTGTTTTTAATCATGGAATAGTGAAATGTCTTTTCTCGTATTTCCTACAGATAACTTTGCAAAAAATCAGCAGCAGAAGAAATCTCAAGAAGAAGCAATCCCTGCATTGAGGGATATTCCCATTAGTGAAGTAAATCAAATGTTTTTTCTTGCTGACAAAGGCATTTGTAACAGAAATTAATTGGAATCAGGACCTGTTAGAATAAGACACTCGTACAATAATATTTAGAAACGCATTGTAAGAAAAGTCAAAGGCTTGTCAATGCTAGGAAATTTAACACTTTCAACAACTGGAATAGATGGATTTGTACCTAAATTAAGCTGTGGTCAGCACTGGTTCACCTGTGGCATAGAGCACTGAACCGGGACTCAGAAGATATGGGCTGTATTCTCAGCTCTACTGCTAGCCTGCTGGGTGACCTTGAACAAGTCACTTCACCACTCTGTGCTTTGGTTTCCCCATCTGTACTATGTGTGTGATACTGACGTTTATAAAATGCTTTGAGATCTACTGATGAAAAGTGTTATTTAAGAGCTATGTATTATTAAACAAATTGATGATTGTTGAAATGGTTTTATTTCTTAATGTAGAGAGACCTACAGTACTAAACGATAAAATACTTCATTCTGGGAACTGAATTCTTCCATATAAATTTGTGTAGCTATGCTCTGGATCTGAAATAATCTGTTCAGTTACCCCTAGATTTTTTTTCTTGCACATTGAGGGTGGGATTTTCCAAAGCTTTCAGTGTTTGGCTTAATTCTGCTCTCATTGACTTCAGTGAGAGCAGAGTTAGGCCAACACTGAGTGTTCTTAAATATCCCACCCTATTTTGACCGGTCATAGTAAATTCAAGTATATGCATTGTGACTGTACAGTAATATTAACAAAATGTTTTTAATTGTCTAAAACAGGTTGCATTTCTAATTTTTTTTCTGAGGGCATCTTACTTGCCTTGGACATTTACTGCACAATGGATTTTCTTTAGATATGTATTTCTGCATATCAAGAATATCCTTGTTTTCCTATCTTATTAGGCTTATTAAAAGTCATAGGGTTTCCCAAAACCAGGAGAAAAGATGGGGGATGAAGAAAAATCCAAACAAGTTCCCATTTAAATATTAGTTGTTTTTTCTTAATTTGTTTTCTTGTCCTTCATTCTAATTTCCTTATTATTAAAAAATTATAATTCTTAACAGTACTAAAAATAAAATTCTTCTGGACCCATGGAATTGCTGTAAATGCCATACAAAACTGCAGGGCCTTCTTCTTAAACTCAAAGGAAATCTCAAGGTATACTGTGTTGTTTCTAAGCCACTGCCCAAATATCTTAAACAGAGAATATTCTTCCACTTACACATTACTTTGCTGACAAATCATCACCAGAAGTTGTCTAAATATTTTATTTGTCGCCAGCTGACATCCCAACACATTGCATCATAAAACACTAGTGATACTAGTTAAAGCCTGATTGTAAGACAAAAATACCAGCACTCCTTTCAGGAAAGAACTTAAGAATTACAAAAAGTTACTTTATTTCCTTTTCTAATGAAATGGTATCTTGGAAAACTTCTGTATGCAGGACCTCATAATGATCCCATTGAAACCAATGAATGTTCTGCCACTAATTTCAGTGGGAGTCCTTCCTCCACATCCCAGCTTGCTATAGCTAGACAATCACATGGACGTTCCCAACTTGTGATCCAGAATCTAAGCTTGCTTGTTTGGTTGTTTTTTTAGGTTTTGTTATTTGGGGGGAGGGAGAGGAATCTCCAGCTCTTAGAGCAATGAGAAAAATCCTAAAATTTTGAACCAAACAAACCAGTGTAATGCTGTCTGCTTGAGTTTGCAGATAGCCTGAAATAATAGCTCTAAAGTGTGTAACTTGCCCTTATTCATCTTATTGGGGTGATAATTCCAGAGCCTAATGATTCTATTTCAAATGGCAACATTAACTACTTAATTGCTGATCAGAATATGCAAGAAAGAGGAGTGTCTTGGAATCTCATTTTGAAGTCTCAGATTGTGTAGGGCATATTTGTTTGAGTGGAGCATTTGATTTGGGACAGAGCTTAACTTTTATCTTTTTTCAGTTTGAACCCTTGCTTTTCCTCATTCAATCTTGAACTGATAGAAATTATAGGCTATTCTGGCAAGGACCATGTATTTACTATTGCCTAGCTATGGGGGGAAGAGTGGTGTCGTTAAAAAAATTAAGTTACCAATTTTTTTTTCTTGAGAGAATTCATGACTAGGTCACTCCAGGGTTATATATTTTCTCATATGCAATTTATGGTTATGATTTTCTTGTTCTTTTTCTAATTTTTTCAGAAAGCAATTTAACTTTAAATTCTAACTTGACAACTAGTGAAAGCTCTGGTTCTGGTGTCATTTAATTTAAGGATTAAATTAATTCTTAGTTAAAGATACACAAATCCCTACAGGATAAAGAAGAGCTACTGGAAAATGCCCTCAAGCCCTAAAAGCACACAAACTAAAGGATTATAAATCTTAAACAAAGATTCTATCAGTGATGAATCTGCCATTTCACTTGTCCTCTGATCTAGCACAATTACGGGAAAACTACCAGAAAGGACCTAAGTGAACAAACAAACTGGGGCCATTTATTATTTAAGTGAAATTTGCAGGCACGAAACTCGATCTTTGCTTTTCTGTCATTGAGTGGCAGTGCTGCAATGACATTCTGATGATCTTAATTATTCTCAAATTGAAGTAATCAAAATTTCAAAGGTTGTCTTCATGATCAAAATAATATATTCTGTAATACAATGTATTTTGCTATGGTGTAGGGTTTGGGACTTGTGATAAAGGTTAATGGCATCTAATGTTTAAAACTAATATACTTTGACAGGGCATTGTGGATCTTGAGAGTCCCTCATTACGTGACTTTACATACAGCAGTAATCAGGTATATTTTATTCTTACCAACTTGGTGGGAGGGGAAGCTGCTTTTCACTAGTTCCTTACACCTAAAAAGAATGCTGTCTCTTTAGCTGGTAAAGTATTTAGAAGGCTTTATGCAGTTGTCAGCTCAGAGTTATCAGGTGGATGATTCCAAAACAAAACCTGACAAGATTAAAGTGTGGTGCTGGTTTTAACTCCTTCCTTCCTAAAACATACCTGTGTAAAGACTACCTAAAGATCTGGAATAGACTAAATGTGATCAAATATCCACTCCCTCAAGAGATTGGCTTTAGTGATACTAAATCCTAAATTTGCCCTCATTTTCACCTCTTGGCCTAGCCTTATCAGTGGTATCTTGTCATCACCAAGATTAGTAGTATTTAGTGGACTGGACTAACAGCTTTATTCTTGCTGAGCTTGGCAAAGGGGATAGCCTTTAGCCATATTGTTCAAGTAACTTATATTCTTTTTGTCTGGTTCCTTTAGAGGAATTTTGTTTTCATATGCATTTGGATACTTATTGCCATGATTCTGTTTTGATATTCTATTCAAGAGAGATGCATGTGTAGAAACAGTGTGACATCCTGTCCTCTAGAATGGAGTTTCTCTACAGACAGTGAGTGTTGAGTTTGAACATGCCAGAGCTCCTCCTCCTCTAGTGAAGATCAGACAGGATACTCTTTTAATTTTTAAAATGCAAAGGTCCTGTACCCCTACCACTGAATGCAATAGGACTGTAGTTCTCAACCTTTTCTGCATTATATTCCCATATGCCCAAAGAAACACACATGAGCGTGCCCACAGACACTCACAATATGTTCATAACCCTAAGGCTGAGCAGCCATGCAAAAGAAGATGTCACTGATTTCAGTACCAGCAGAATCAGGCTGAAATTGATTAAAGGTATGAGGTGGAAGCCTGTGGTTTTTTACTATGTTGCAGTGCACAATAATGGGTTAGAAAGTGCACAATGGTTAGGAAGGAGCCAACATAAGAGCAATATTACCATGTTGTAATGGGGCACAGACTAATCCAGCGGCACCTCCTGCTGGTTGTCTGGGAATCAGCTCTTTTTACCAGCTCTGGAGTGCCCTCTGCCGTTGTCTCACCACTGCTGGACCTGGGTGCCCTTTTACCTGGGGTGCTGCCCCTCCGGGCAATACACATCTGACTCTCACAGATCTGACTCTTCCCTCCCCAGGGAACCCCTGACCCTCTATCTCCACCTTGCCTCAACCATGGGCTACTGCCAGTCACCATCTAGCCCCCTTTCACTGAGGCTGACGGCAGTCTGTATAAGCCAGTCATCAAAGGCAAGGGGAGTTTGGACCTGCTGCCTCCGCCTACCCTTGGGCTGCCCTGTTGCAACCCCAGTACCCTCTCTTAGGCCATCTGCCAGGCCTGGAGCTTTTCCAGTCTAGAGCGTCCCACGTCCACTGCCCTTTCCCAGCCCTGCTTCACCTAAGGTACACTCCCCAGCAGCCAGGCCCATCTTTCTCCACACTTAAAGGAGACTCTGTGTGCTCCTGGCCCACTGCCCTCTTATAAGGGCCTGCTGTGGCCTGATTGGGGCATGGCCCCCAGCTGAGGCTGCTTCTCCCAATCAACTCAGCTTTTCCTCCCCTGCCACAGCCCTCTCCCCAGGCTGTTTTAAGCCTTTTAAGGCAGGAGCGGCTAACTACCCTGCTACACATGTATTCAGTTACTCTCATTTTTATTGTAAATATATTAAAGTGAGCCCTGTAGGCACTACTATATTGAGATCTGTACCCTAATGAGCTGGGTGCTGCACAAACAGAAAAGAGAAAATCCCTCCCCTTCATAAAGGGAGGGCACAGAGATAAAATATTACAAGTGAATGAGTATGGTAAAGAACTGGCACCGCTTTGTAAGTTACATGTAGGGCAGTCTGTGTGTGTTTAATTGGGGCAGAGGAAGGAAGTAATGTAGCAGGAAAGAAAAGAAGATAAAGAGGACACCTGCTGCTCAAAATTTTAATTCAACATATGAGTGTCCAGAGGTATTTCTCCATAGGACTTGACTTGACTGAGTGGGTCCTCCTCACTGTGACATGCAGGTATACCTATACTATTACAAGCTCTGTCTGACTTGTTCCACGTGCAAAGAGGTCTCACGCTCTTAAAAAATATACAAAGCAATTTAAAAAAAAACATTTTGAAGGTATCAAGTAACTTCTGAATCAGATGTAATTATTTTTGAAGTCATCCATCTTTGGAGCCTAAAAAGTGAGGTCTCTTGGACTACAGATTACTCCTCTAGACTTCCCGCAGTGGAAGGTCAGGCACAGCCACCCATAACTACATCACAAAAGTCATTCATGCAAATCAGGAAAATTAATATTAGCATAAAGTTTGTTTCTGCTTGTTAGGCAAAATGGCAGTTGATTTGGAATTTGCCTGCAACAGTTGGAGCAAGCTAAGGCTCATAAAATACACATGTGGTCTTATTCATTTCATGAAAGTAGGAGGAGAAAACAAATATAAATTTACTTATTTGAGTTGGCTGAGATAGGGGATACTTCAGGTCTGCTATCCTAATATTTGTTAAATGATTCCTATATATGTATGGTTCTTCCTGGCCTTTTGCTGCATAATGGACTTTTTCTATTGGTACTACTCAGATC